ATGCACCAATCAATTTCACAGGAATAATACACTAAGTCCAGTATCAACTTGAATGGGAATCAACTCGCGTTAGTAGGCAAGCTCACCTATCGAGGCAGTATTATCGCAAAAATCACCAAGATCGGCGACGAAGGGACGATCCGAACCTGTAAAACGGACTAGGCTTTCAGCCGGCCTCTGTCTGCAACCGCCACGGATATTGACACAGGACGAAACTCAGAATGTACAGAGTAGTAGTCCTGGCAAAGCTACTGTACGAAGCAGATGCGTGAGCTGTCTACGCCAATGCAGCCAAGAAAGTCAATCGTTTCCACCTCAGACAGTAGTGCGCAGTTGATCCCTTTCGCACAAGTAGGAAGCGCCCTCCTTGGCTAATTCTCAATGCGGCACACTCACGCACGCGGGATTCGAACCGTCCCCATCCCGGTTCTGAGAACATGGTGAGTTGGGGAGAGGAGGTTGGGATCAGGTCCTGTGCAACAGACATAGACGAATTGCGTCAGTTCTGTCAGCCACTTCATCCAGACTCAGCATCAGTTAGTTGATCGTCTCTGCCAACCGACTGGTGCATGGGAGAGAGAAGAGAAAGGCCGATTCTGGGAGATCTATCCCGACGGCACATCGCCACCTTCCTCACTAGAACAAATCTGACGCGCGCTCGAATGCTCCAGGAGTCGCCAATAGTCGTAAAAGATAAGGCTGCCAACTGGCGGTCATCCGCTCTGAAGACGGAGACACTCGCTTCAATGACTCCTTCACAAGGTGGCTTCTATTGAACCACTACACATTTGGGAGGCGAGCCGCCCAGGTGTGATTGACACGCTTGGATGAGCTGTGTAGCTTGTCAGTCAGAGTGTCTGAGCCCACCTGCGGTCTGTCAGACAACAGGCTCGGTGAGTGAGGGAGGGAGGAGGGAGTACGGTAAATGCTGCACAGGCCGTCTACCCTGAGAAGTCAATCCGTGTGCAAATCACCGCTTCTGCTTCTGGACACAACGTGATATTTTCGGCCGCCACGGTGATTCTGTTACGTCAAGTAAAAAAGCAAATGCAGCTGGGAATTCGCGCGATGTGAGCTGCAGTTCTTGTTTAGGCAAGGAGGAAATATGTGACATTCCTGAGAACATAGAGCGCAGGGACATCTGCCATACGGGAAAGATGTTAATATTAGTTGTATGATTTGGGCAGACAGACGCGGAGATTAACAGAATCTGCGGAAGGCGTTGAGAAAACTCGAAGTTCTGTCCTACATTTCTTTTATTGCTCCAACAAGGTGACGGGACGGATGTCACAATTCGAAAGGCGCGAATTTGGGACGTGTGAGTGGGCGAGAAACAGGTATGCCAAGGCTATTGGTTAAAGAAGTCCTGATCGACAAAGACTGAATTCGACATACAAAACTTAATGCAAAGGAATGGACCATCCAATGACACTTAAACCCACATTCCATTCTTCTCTAATCTACTGTATCCGTGGCAAATAATTGTGCCTTGGAGTGTCGCAAGAATAATGCATAGAGGAATTTCAGATGGACTTTAAAATCGACCTTTCTCCCTCTACGACCCTTCAACAGCATGCCGTCTAAACAATGGATCTGTTTAAGTGCTCTGGTATTTGCAACGACGCAGGTGCATCCCACCTACCACTCCCCTCTTCACTCCATCAACATACGTCAGTCTATGAGAAACGTAACTGCATCAAAGCCCAGTCATTTTCACACGGCACTTACCAACGTTCTCTGACAAACAAAACGGCATTGGAATCCGCATTCCCAGGCATGCTGCAGTCTGAATGGTGCGCTAAACAGGTTCACGCCCTTAACTCAACACGTGACGAAAGTGCGCAGCTCTCCTTAGTACAGTACGGTGGCGGCGGCGGTGGTGTTGACGACAACAGCAATCCCCCTATAAATTGGAGTCCTTCTGAGGAGGAGGATATTCACTGAAAACGCACCTCTCAGACAAGTCATGGCTAGGCCACCATATGATGATCCACGTATCCGAGAGACACCGGGTCTCACCTTCCCCATTCTTAATGGGCAGAAATATGTCTGCGATGGGAGCCGCTGCGTACGACTTCCGACAAAATATGAGAGTACGTTTGTGTGTCTATGCCTCACTTTGCATTCTTTATAATGTTTTGTTATCATAAGGTTTGAGAGAAGCAGTGGTAGGGAGTGGATAATTTAGCTCCCCACAGAAGTTTGCTTGTGTTGAATAGGCCCACTACCTGTGCATGTTCTCTTTCCATTTACAGTGTACATGGCCAAGGAGAGAGCGACCTCCAAGTCTGGACGCATCCGACGAACAAATTGGGAGGAGGAAGTGTAACAGATTCTTCACACTGAGCCAACTGACAATCACGCCTTTTCTGTTTAAATTACCTTTGTAGTTATAAATATGCATTTTGTGGCAAAACCTCTCTGTTGCTTCTCAAGGAGCACTGTTAGTTTGTGTGTCAAATAAGTCGACCGAATGTTAGTGCAGGAAGTAAGAGGGAACTGCGTGTCCGTAAAACCATTCTGAGCTCACGTTTGTCCTCTGAATTTGTCGTTATTATGATCGACTGACGTGGAGGATGCAGGCAGCACAATGACTACAATAATAATGATTTTTAGAAATATCCAAAAAAGCCTTTACAGTTTTCGTGGGATCTCAGTCAGTCAGAAAATGAGGATGTCCAATGCAACTGTACGCAGACAGTCTTCCTTTAGGGTATGACAATTTGTGAAGAGAACTTGCTGCGGTGATTCAGGTTTTGGGCCAAACATGCACATACAGTCTGTGGATGTTGAAACGAAACAAGTGCGGACCCTACGCTCATCTACTGATAACTGATAATGGACCTTCATTCCGACCACGCGAGGAACTATTCGAGCCAGAGACGGTCACTGGCATTGAATTCTTCTTGAAAACTGCTGGTCATTTCGAACACACAGGCATAATTTGTGTGGGATACTTTTTAAACACCGCTTGTCTGCACGTATAACAAAGCGCTTCATCCAACCGTACAATCTGTAACTTCCGGTCAACTGTAACCAATTTTGCATGATCCAGGAATGGCATTTGTGCACGCTACCTACTGTCAAAACTGTTTGATGAATTTTTGTATCCTTGGCTTCTGTAGGGCAAACGCTAACATCAGTTAAAGGTCTGTGGAACATTGCTGCAGGAAATGGTTGAGGGCGTTTCCAAGAACTCTAGCGGACGACGGGAGTTTCCTCCAGTGTGGAATTTTTACCCTATAAGGACGCGGCAAGCAAGGATGGATGGCCTTGTCTCCCTATCTCTAGGTGCTGTTCATGTACACAGACAGAGATAGACGTCGCGGTTTGGATACAGTAGCTATTTGGTTTTACGACTAGGTCGCCGTATCGTCGAAAGTTTATTTTCCCCTGGACAGCTGACGTAGAATATATGGCCTCCTATCGTTACTGGGAAATCCACATTGGAAAATGATTTGAAAGGTTATTTTACTTCTGTTCGATAGGACGTTTATTAGAGCAGTGGGTGTTAGCCTGATTTAGTATGCTGTAAATAAGGCCATGATTTTCGGAGATGGGGTGATTACTGCCATGATGCCTAGACTACGTCTTCATACTAAACTGAAGTTTGCAACGATCCATCAGTTCTTCAGTGTACGAGAACATCCAGGAATAGGAGTTGGCTTCCATTTCGGGAGTAAATTGAATTTCTGGGAAAGGCTATTGTAGAGTATTTTTGATCGACCTTATTTCACGACAACAAATGTATTGTCCACGTAATGTACCCACAACTTCGGGATTATCTGTTAAGTTAAAGCAAATGCGATAGGTTCGCCCGCACGCAAGTACAAATTCAACCTCCTCATTGGGAAAAAACTGTCAATATGGGAACGTAAACAACACCTGGAGAGTCGCTGGCTAGCACGTCGTCAATGATATTGGCAGTGTACAAGAACAGTCAACGCTAACAAAGCCTAACAAGACATTACGTGGCTGATTTAAGCTCGTATCAATACGTGTCTGCAGGTTTTGCACAACCGGTCAGGATGGACATCGTCCTTCTCAGCTGATCGTCATCGAACACGGTATGTCTAGTGATGCACGTCTCGTGTGACTGCATTGCTTCCAGGAACTAGCAGCCATTCCGCCCTGGATAGATGTCTACGCTGCGGGCTTCCTCCTATGCAAATTTAGGTTATGTGTCTAGCAGGTGTGCGTCAAACTAAAATAAATGGCAGTGTCTCATCACTGGTGGCTCGTGTTTCTGTACACGGTAGATAGTAATTTTCCTGGTTTGGCTACAGTAGACTGCATCACAAATGGCACATGGACTTTCATAGACTGCTTCTTTCCTCCCGAAGTAACCCACGCCTTAGATGATCCTGCCTCTAATGATGGATTCGAGTGTGAATCGTAAGGGTCAGTGATTACGTCTTCCTTTTCACATAGTCAACTCCGTCTGGAAGGCAAACTACCTGGTCACGCAAAGTTGCTGACGGTCTCTAAGCTATCTGCACGTGATGCCTTTTTGACCACCTTGTGACGAGCTGGGATACGCCTTTTGCATAATGGGACACTTGTCAGTCCGTTGGGTTTATCTCTATCGTTGGAGATTACTTTCTCCTTAAACTGTTCTCTAAGAGCGTATAAATGCGCAAGGTTAAAGAACATCCATCTTCAGAAAATAATGTTGTAAAATCCGAGAATCGGCTACCTATTCCCGTGTCCTAACCTCAAGCATACTAGTAACCGTAACATATGCCTTGTACATTATCCAAAAAGTAATACTAAACAAAATTCTAAATTTTATCTTAGCTTTAATCTTCAAGAGATTTAATCCAAAGCCACCGTATT